GAAATATATGTTAAAAAACAAAAACGATTTTCAATTTTTTTGTAGTTTATTGCACTTTTTTGCAATTTATGTAATTACTATGCACTTAAGGCATACATATTATTAAAATCTGGGCTATAATGGTTGTATTGATGTATAGCAACTTGAAATGCTCCCAAAAATGGCACTACAGCATGTAAAAATATAATATAAGCTCTGGCGGACTTGGTTCTATGGTAGGTCTTAAAGGGTTAAGAACACTTTTTTTTTAATGGGTTATTTGGTTTCCCAAATATAACAAATGTAGGGAGCAAGGTGGATGTACAGTTTATTAAAGTAACATCAACAATTGTCTGAATGATAAAAAATGAGTTGGATCTACTTGGGGGACTACAGCCAGTCTTTTGGCAAATAGGCAACACAAGAGCTGTACTGGCTCAGTAGCTTTGGTACATAAATGTGTTTGGTCCCTAAACAGCAAGACAGGATAGTAAAATATTTATACAGGCAAGATTGGAAAGAAAAAACCTGGTTTAAAACATTGAAAACAGCAACCTGTAATGCTTAAGTAACAGTTGATTGTCGTCTGCTTTTCCACTACCAGAACCACTATGGGGGTTTAGATGGCGGCCATTACACAGCCTACTGTAAGAATGCCGCCAAACAGCGCTGGTACAAGTTCGACGACCATGAGGTGTCTGACATTTCCACCTCCTCCGTCAAGTCCTCTGCAGCCTATATCCTGTTTTACTCCACCCTGTGATGGTGCTGTGGGACATAAAGGAGGCACACTAATACACCAGAGCAGCAATGCTTTTTTCTTTTTAGAATCACAGCTCTGAGGACCTGGTGCACAAAGCTGCGGTTAACTTGTCGGGGAATTACTCGAGCGAGTGGCCATGAGATCTCGTCTGTCCCAGAAAGGAGAACGGTGCAGGCACACTGTGCAACGCTTCAGCTACTAGAGGAGCCATAGCTGTTTAAAATATGCCGTCTGTTCACGTTACTGATCATCTAGAGACTAAATGGATCCTCCTTTAAATCTGACTTCTCTACCATAGTTGTGCTGTAGGGCTGACCGCTGGTCCAGACGCTCTTCACTCGCATTTCTTTCACACTCGGTGTGGACAGCACTATCGCAGAACTGATTTTCAGCTTTCTTGTACTGTGCATACACAGGATTAACAGTTAGGTGGCATGTACATACCTACCTACGCTGATGTTGCACATTAAAAATGTAAATACTTTAGGGCAAAATATTTATCTGTTAAGTGACCAAATTATTATTATTTTTTTCGTGAAAGTAGCAGCCATTATATTATCTCCATATTCATAAAGGCAAACCATATGTTTTAGGGGTTTACCTGTAGAGCCTTCTCTTGTTTATTAACGAGGGGGTGTTGAAGAGACTGTGACTGATTTTTAGCATTCTTCCTGAGGTAAAGGAGGGAGTTTTGCTTGTTCATATTAGCCACATTCTTGCACTTATCCACTTATGCAATCACATTAAGTTGTTTATGTAGAACATATTTGTTTAACAGCCGATTTCAGCGCTCTACTCAGAATGCTTTACACTGATGCTGACATCTTCTCTGTCTTGCTCGGTTCAGCTAATGAAAGGAAACCCTACAGTCTTCTGTAAAGGTTATTGTCAGTTAAACCTACTTACTCTTTACATGATTATACTCAAACACTATTTAGAGGCAAATGTATCAGGATAGATTGACATCCTGTTTGGTTCATACTAGTGATTTTTGGTCTTTATTTGTTTGAGGCTTGGTTAGATTTTTTTTCTTTTTTCAGGAATTACTTTAATGTTTAGTATTGAGCTGGAGAATGTGAAGACGTGAGAAATTGACCTTAGCCACTTACACGAGTGTGATAGGGTCAACACACTCTGCCTGACCGACCAGCCGACTGACAAGGGCAAGCACAAAGTAAGCTGATTATTATTTTTTTAGAATGGACCAGAGCTCTTAAGGGGTAGGATTAGACTCTGAACTTCCTGACTATTTTTATTGCCTCGCATGAGATCATGTGCTATTTTCTTTTCACTTGTACTTTTTCCCCCCTCAATGTTCTGAAAGTGTTTCAGATATAACGATTATATTAATCTCAAACAACTCATGTCTATTTATTAAAACTGCTTCAAATTAGTTTCTGTGTGTGTTTGTGAACAAATGTTCCAAGATATTTTCAGCATGTATTAAGTACTGTCATAAAGCCCTTATCAACATGATGTCCCTGTCTTCCTGTGGTTTGGAGATAGTGGGATAGTTAAACATTATACATTAGCACTGAACTCACACTCATTTATTTCTAATTGTTATGGAGATGCTAACAGTACAAAGAGCAGCAGAGATGTTGAACCAAATGCAGATGATAAGAAACACTTTCAAGAGGGAAACTGATTTTGGTCTTCTATTTGCAAAGCTCACAGTCCTTGGATCTTTGGCTTCGGGAAAGGCTTGCGGCTGTAGAGCAGCATGTAGGCGTTGGGAGATTGCACCAGGGTGTCCTGTACCTCTCTGACAAGCGAGTCGTCAAACAAGTGCCAGGTCTGGGCTGAGGCGTTGTGGCACAGAGCCGTATAGTGACCCATGTTCAGATGACCTGTGTGGTTCTATTAAAAAATATGAAATTAACACATTAAAAAAACAGATGTGGTGAAAACTCCATGGTTTTCCACACAGTTTGTCATTTCATGTAAATATTACAGTTTTAATTGCATAACAGGTGCCAAGTCCTAAACATTAAACCCTGTGTGTTGCCTGGGTGATCTTAAAATGGTGTAAAGCACTTTGTGGAAATGCCAAAAGTTTTTCTGTAATGTTACAGATTTGTGTTTTACTATTTAAGCCCAAAAAAGTTGGGTTTGTTTCATTAACTGCAGCAGTATTTCTTTATCACGTATTAAAACTGAGACAGTTTATTGAAGCTGCACTTCATTTTCTCATACTGAGCTATCTCACATTAAATTATTAAACTACTTTACACTGTTAGAGGGGGGATGGGTTCACTGCTCCAGCCCACATAAGATCAAATTGGCCCAGGATGAAAAATGAGTTTTGCGCCCCTGCCTAAGAAAAAGTCCGGCACCAGACTTTTAAAATGGTCTCTTTAATATTGCAGCTGTTGATTATTTTAATTATGTAATAATGTAATTTATCAGGAAATTAATAACTAAAGATTTAAAAAGCTGCAAAATAAATAGTATAAATACAGTAATTGCATCCAAAATATAGTGGAGTAACAGAAGAAAGCAACAACACGTCCAAATAAGTCTCAGTAAATCACTGGAGTAAATGTACTCAGTTACATTCCTACTGGTAGTATTCATGCTCTTATATAACAGTGTTGGGCACTGTAAGTTTAACAGTACTCTAGTCCAACCTGCCAAAAATGACTGTCCTCAGGGGCTGAGGGCAGTCATCTTTCAGAAGGGGTTGTTGCCACCCCATGCCCCCCTTCTGGACATACCCCTGACTGCCAAAGTGGCATCATGCATTTCATTTACAGCCTTGAGCCTTTACGGTCTTGGCAGTCATGCATCCCCAAGTCTTTGAATCTACGAGTGTGGATGTTTGCAGTGCGCTCAAATATCTTTCGGCAAAACACAAACATGACCTCACAAATTCATATTACGATCTTCTTCGTGTTCACTCACCACAACAGCATAAAGATGGTATGAAGAATCTGAGACATTATGCACTGAGCTCGACAGAAATGGGGTCAAGTCGAGCTTCATGGGGAACGCGACATTAGTTCTCAGTTTCACCTGCTTCTTCCCCTTACAGCCAAACCTGCGGCGGAGGAAACAAGTTTAGTTTGAAACACTGACTCTTAAAAAACAGTGGGGGTTATTGATTTATCTTAGCCTTCCTGTATCTCCGGGGTATTTGGAAGCAGAAACACTTCATAATAGAATGCATAAAGAGTATTAAGTATTCATGATGCCTGCTGAATTAACACATGCATGAATATATGTTATTTGTAGAAAAGGTCTGTTACTCAATACTGATAAATGGCGCTATTAGTTTTTTTTGTACTTACAAGCAAAAAGACCATTATTGGAAATCACTTAATTAATTTTTGAGTCTTTATTGTCTAATAATTTAACAAACTCAGTCCTTGAATTATTCAAATGCATATTGTTGCTTCTCTGTTACTGTCATGACCTTTGTTGCTGTAATTCAAACAGACCAAAAACAGACTGAAATTGGTCACTAAAAAGATGAATGTCTCCAGAGCAGTGGCGGATCTAGAAAATTGTACATGGGGAAGAAACGATTTATTTAAGCATCTGTTTTCCCCCCCCTCAAGCCTACAAAGCCTTCTCGGTTTTGCTCAATTATGGTCATAATGATATTAATTGTATCATGTGACGTGAATGTGAAAGTTTTGTGCACTGCCGCACACTGAATCTAGGCAACATCGACTAAGTCCTTTAATTGCTTTCAAACAGCACCCTGCTGAAGTTCATCTCCTTCTAAAGATCAAAGCCTCAGAGCAGCTACACTCCTGAGTGGACCTTAAAGTGAGATTATGCTCTGCTAAATGTTACACATCCATTCATAAAATTTAAAGATTTTATCGACTGAACATATACTCTGTAAATAAAGTATCTTAAGAGATGACGATCCATTCCTTCTCACCGTTTTAGGTGTAACATGAGGATCTCTGGAGGTTTGTCCAAACTAGTGATGACCGCCGTTTCTCTCCTCATCCTGCACACTGAACACAGCAGCTGCTCTCCCCCAGTTAGGACGGTCTGCTCGAAGAACAGCGACAGACAGTCCTGCACAACATGAAATGAGAATAAAAGACCAGCACAGAACTGCAGGGATGAGGCCATCAGTATATCAAATGCAAACAGTCTGAAAGGTGTTTAAAAAAACATGCCTGAATGGAGCACTTAAGGATGCCGGCAGGAATCGGCAGTGACAGCACAGTAAAAGCTTGTGTGCTGTACGCCTGCTGATCGCAGTGCATGCAGAGGGTTATGTAGCCCAGCTGGCCCTCAAACAGCTGTGACACAATGGTGCTTTCAGTGGTGCAGTACCTATTGTGTTCTTGCCTCGGCTGTCGTATTGAACAGTGCATCTGGTCCTTTGCAACCTTGTAAACAATCACATACGCACAAAAACACACTCAGTTATGCTTTCCGTAGGTTTATATTACTGAGAGGAACGGGCTATGTGATGGTGCAGATGCGCAGGTGTCTCTGCACCTTTTTCAGGTCATCGTGTAGCGTGTTAAGGAGAAAGAGGAGCAGTTCCTGGGCGTCCTGCTGGGAGTAGTTGTTGAACTGGGGAAGGATGGAGCACAGCACCGACCGGGCCTCTACGGGGGCACAGCTGGAGTTTGTCCCCAGCCACATCTCCTCTAGCAGGCGGACAAACACCTCAGCCACCCGGCACTTGGACCTGCATGAAAAGAGGTTAAACTACTGGAAAAAAACATGACTGCCAACCCTCAGGTGAGTCCAAGAATAAAACGAAGATGATCAGTCTTAGTCTGTGAAGGTTCTCAGTCATCCAGGTCATGGTAGTCTAAGAAGCTTGGAAAGAAAAGCGTCTGGACTTCTTTAAGTTGTTTGAAGACGTTTCACCTCTCATCCGAGAAGCTTCTTCAGTTTTAAGGTCAAATGGTGGAGAGTCCCAGATTTAAACCCAGTGGGAGTATCCCCCCCAAAGAGGGACAAAGGACACCCTGATGATCCTCTACCTAATCACATGAGCCAAGGTGTGAAAACGGGTGTGGGTCACAATCAGCCATGGTTTCGGGTGAGCTCATTGTGAAATCTGGCCCCACCCTATCATGCGATTTCCTAAGGTCAGATGGCCCAGGATGTGAGTGGGCGTTAAGGCGTCTCGGAAGGGAACTCAAAACTGGATTATAGATGGCAGACAGTTGGTGTCGTAATCCACCACCTCTGTTCAAAGATGGTCGCTCACAGTGGACATAAATGGCTTCTTTCGCTCCTCTTTCAAACCATCTGTCCTCTCTGTCCAAAATGTGAACATTGGCATCCTCAAAAGAGAGACCTTTATCCTTTAGATGCAGATGGACTGCTGAGTCTTGTCCTGTGGAGGTGGCTCTTCTATGTTGTGCCATGCGCTTCTGAAGAGGCTGTTTGGTCTCTCCAATGTAGAGGTCTGGGCATTCCTCGCTGCACTGTACAGCATACACCACATAGTTAAGTTTGTGTTTTTGAGTTTTGTCTTTCGAGTGAACCAGTTTCTGTCTGAGTGTGTTGCTGGGTCTGAAATGCACCTGGATGTCATGCTTGGAGAAAACCCTCCTGAGTTTCTCTGATACACCGGCTACATAGGGGATAACAATGTTGTTGCATCTGTCTTTCTTAACCTCCCTCGCTGGTGTCTGATCTTCCACTGTGAGCAACCATCTTTGAACAGAGGTGGTGGATTACGACACCAACTGTCTGCCATCTATAATCCAGTTTTGAGTTCCCTTCCCAGACGCCTTAACGCCCACTCACATCCTGGGCCATCTGACCTCAGGAAATCGCATGATAGGGTTGAGCTAGGTTTCACAATGAGCTCACCCTAAACCCTGGCTGATTGTGACCCACACCCATTTTCACACCTTGGCTCATGTGATTAGGTAGAGGATCATCAGGGGATCCTTTGTCCCTCTTTGGGGGGGATACTCCCACTGGGTTTAAATCTGGGACTCTCCACCATTTGACCTTAGAATTGAAGAAGCTTCTCGGATGAGAGGTGAAACGTCTTCAAGCAACTTAAAGAAGTCCAGATGCTTTTCTTTCCAAGCTCCTCAGACATGCTCAGTCTTACTTTTCCAGTTCTCTGCGTGTTTCCTGATCCAGGAGGTGCTCTACGAGGGGCACAGTGGAGCACAGGCACTGTAACACCGCATTTAAGTAGCAAGAGTTGCCAGAATTGTCTAACCCACACACTCCCGGTCTGTTCCAGTTGTTCTGCAGCCTCACTGCAGAGCTGCACCTGTGTTTTCCTTTCACCGTCACCTGACCACAGATGTTGGTGTTTGTCCTGCAGGAGAATTTAGTCAAGCAAAAATATCAAATATATCAGTGACAGGATTTATTTGTTCAAATCTTCACATTAAAAGGTCACAATATTAAAATCCCTGGTTATCACATTAGAATGTGGTGTGTCAAGTGGTGGGATAGATAACACAGGAAATTAAAAATCAGCTGCAAGTAGCAGTAAGGCTCTATGGCAGGTTATGTGGGGTGATGAGCAAGGAAGGAAGACTGAAAGTCAGAATCGGGGTTATGGGTGCTCAAGGCTCAGTGATAAGTGTGGGGATCAAAGATCTAAAACACACACTTATAAATTAAATACTAAGCTAAATATAAAGTTTTCAGAATTTCATTTTTTTCTGTTTGGCTTATTTCATTCATCAAACATTGCAGCAGCCATAAGACGTTGCAGAAGATCTGTGACAAACAGCGGGACTAACCTTTGCTTACAAATATTTGAGACATTTTTCTCTTGGTATGAGCTGCTGTTCAGTCGTGGCAGAACGGGCACGGCGGTGCTGCTGTTCATGGCCAGCTGAGAGGCCAGAGTCCTGGTGAACTGTGTCAGGTTGACCTTCTTTCCTGAGCTCTGGCTCTGCAGAGTGTGGAGCACAAATGTGTTGATGCAGATCACATGCAGCGTCACCCAAAGGCCTGGGAGGAATACATCCACCCCTGTTCTTTTTGGATCAGACAGGGGAACGAGGGCAGGTCCTGTCCAACCCTGCAGGTGGGCAATGAGTTCAGACATCATGGAGCCCTCAGGTGGTGAAGATGGTGGCCTCTTAACAGCGGGAACAAAATGAATGGTGAACCCTAATCTAGACAAGATGTGTGTGAGCCTTTCCTCCATCCAGGCAGAGCTATCCAGCTGAACCACACACCTGTGGCTGCAGAAAGGTCTCAGCAGGTGTCTGACCACCTGCTCGACAACAGATTTCTTACTCTGCCTCTGGAGCTGCTCTGGACAGTACAGATACATGTTACAGATGAACCCTGAGCTTGGGTCACAGAGGAGAGCGAGATAAAGAGAGTAGCGCTCCTGCTGAGAGGACAGTCTGTATTTCTTTACAGCCAGGTTTGGCCCCGGCGTATAGAGGGCCTGGTAGCGCTGGGTTATGTGGCCACAGAAAGCAGAGAGGACTTCCAGCTTGTCTCCATCCTCCAGTCTGGTCAGAGACAGCAGGTCGGCCTGGATGCTGTTTCTCTTTAGCACGCCCTGCCATCCGTCTAGTTTCACATTTAGATCATGCCCAAAGTTGCAGTTCTCCCCCAAAGACAGGCCGCTCTGCAGGACCACAGAAAACCACGTCACTGCATCAACATACCCCTCCTCAGACACATCTGTGCTCTGCTCCCTGCTCTGGCAGTGTAACTGCCGATTTGGCCCTGCCTTCACACCGGCAGCTCTCCTGATCAGCTCCCGGATCGCTTCTCTGTCCAGCACCTCCAGCAGAAGCTCCCTGGCTGTGTAGTAAACCTGGCAATTGGGGCTGGTCCGAGTCTTTGTCAGAGGCTTCACCTTTTTGGACTTTTGGAAGATATTCGGTAAGCAAAAGGTGTCCCTCTGGGTAGCTTCACGCGGTATGTCCACCAGGTGGCAGTCCTCGGACATCCAGGCGCACTCCTTCACTGACAGAGCTTTGGCCTTCATCGTTCAACCTGTGTGCGCTAAGAAAAAGCCATCTCAAAATATGTATTTGTTTGGGAGCAAAAGGAGGAGATAGCCTCAGACGGCGGTGTTTTTAATATCCTGTGTGCTATCCGGAAAACTGTGTGTGCTGTTCATGTTCATCTGATCCTCAGGTGAATCCAGCGCTCAGGAGAATCCGCTTTTAGGTAAATCACCTGGGATCCGCAGTAGCCAGACAGCTGTGTCCTGGCAACGTAAACACAGCGCTCGTGACGCGCTTCTGGCTTCTGGTGCGCGTGACTCCAGGATTTAACTTGTCATTTAGCAAAACACTAAGAAGAACTAACACACGGAGAATGTGTTTACTGTGTATCTGTCGGGTATCGTTTGAGCTACATGCAGTTCTTCAGAGTCTCCACTAGATGGTGCTCTATGGTGAACCAGTGCGGCTTTTGGGAACCTACAATTCAGGGACGTTAAACTGTGTGTTTTCAAAACAAAACAGGAACTTTTCTGTAATTGTTATTGTTTATCTATTACTTACTTGCTTTGGTGTAGTTTGAATGGCAGTGATTGAGGTCTTTATCAGTAGGAAATGTTGTAAAACCTTTGAAAATACAGTTCAAAGTCCAAATTCAATGCCCTCTGTTACATTTTCCAAAGCTGCCCTGTGGGCCAGATTGGGGTCTTTGATGGGCCGATTCTGGACCACGGGCATTGTGTTTGACACCCCTGCTCTAATCTGTTTTTAATCTTTTTTTTTTTTTTTTTAAACACCCGACCAGGTGTGGCAGTTTCTCTTCCGCTGAAGTGTCCTCACTGGTACTGCGTACTGGTGATGGCATCCAACACGTCCCTAACTCCACCCTATATCATAACCTCCTGAAACAACCCCTACACTGCCGGTAAAACATCTATAATGGGGCAGGGGTCTGGAAGAGAGGTGCAAGAAAAGAGCAGGAGTCCCTCCTTCAGGTAAAAATGTTGAAGATCTGTTTTGAACAAAGCCATGTAGCATATTAAAAGTAAAGACTGTCAACCTGTATGCACAAAGGCAAAGGGATCAGCATCCAGGATTGTACCCAGATCTCTGCAGTAAAGGTGCAGTTGAATCCATTTTAAGTATTGAGTTGGCCCATTCATTTTGTGTGCTGGTAATTGTTGCTTTGTTTTGCGGTTGGAGTTGCAAAGGTATGCTCTTAGGTCTGGATTACTGTTGCAAAACAGTGAAAGGGCCAGTGATGGAAGCAGATAAAGCTTTGTGGTTTTGATGGATCATATGGGTGGAGTGTTCAACCAAAACGTTTAAACCTGAGACAAACTATGAGTGTAAATATGTGTTAATTTACCTGTGATTAAAACTCAGTTACTGGGCTCTTAAAAGAACAAATGGCAGCAGAGCTCTGTTTGGTTACCTTTTTTATTAGTTATTTTGTGGCTCCAAGGAATAGGGGAAAAAAATACATATTTAAAGTCAATGGCTGTGAAAGCTAGTCGTATGATTTCAGTTTTTGTTTTTCTTATCCACACAGCAGCCTGGAGAAACAGACCTGAAAGCTGCAAATAGCTTGATCTGTTTCCCAACAAGCAGAACAGCTCAAGTTCATGTGCCTTGCTCAAGGGTCACAACTTGCATCAGTAACAGCAGGAATTGGGAAAGTTGGGTAAAGGTGACACCACTTTGGATTAGAAAGATTTGAGGAAAAGTGTGGGGGTTAGCACTGCTGCTTCAGAGCAAGAAGGTCTTGGGTTCAAATCCACCAGCTAGTTAGGGCCTTCCTGTGGAGTTTTCATGTTTTCCCTGTGCCTGTGTGGGTTCTCTCCGGGTGCTTTGGCTTCCTCACACAGTTCAAAGACATGCAGTTAGTGGGTTAACTGGTGATTCTAAATTGCCCATAGGTGTGAACGTGCGTGTGAATGGTCATCTCTCTGTGTTAGCCCTGTGAGAGACCGGTGACCTGTCCAGTGTGTATCCACCTCTTGTCCTAAGACAGACAGGATCGACTCCACGCTCTGTGACCCTAAATTAGATGGATGGCATTTCTTACGGGCAAAGAAATCAAATATAGCTCCCTCAACTGTGACATTTGTTGAGGGAACACACACACACACAAAAGGGTGTGACCTTGACCCAGTTTTCACCCAAATTAAGTCAGCTTGAGGTGTTACTGGTGTCTACCATCCCACAAAATTTTAAAATGACATCTTGAAGTCTGTGGCTGCTAGACTCCTAACAAACAGATAAAGAAACCACAACCGATCGTATACTCCCTGCCTTGTGGGAGAGAAAAATGTTACTCCAAATAGTTTTTTTTCTCCACATAGTAAGCAGCCATAAAGTCTACAGTTACTTCTGGGTAAGTCATCTGGGTAAGTCATTGAAAAAGCTTAAAGGTTTTTCAGGATTGAGTTTTGGTTAAATATTAAATGGACTGCTCATTTTATTATCCAAAAAGCAAACCATCAAGCGGGAGACCTCTAACTGTCTCCAGGACGGCAGACATGCAGGCAGGCGCATTTCTGTTGAATATGTCCCAGATCAAACAAAGATTTAATATTTAACATATAAGTCCTTCAAGAGCAACTAGAAAAAGATTAACTGCATCACAAGTGGCAGTGATTGCCCTGGTGAATTATCTAAAATGTCACAAGTTCCACATGGGTGGTGAATTAAAGGAAAAACAAAACAAAGAACAATGTGAAGTTTCTTGGGAAGTGCTCCAATGTGCCACTAGGACAACTTTACTGCACCTTGGCACAATGCTGTGACTGAGTTTCTAGTAATGTATTTGACGAATGGAACACCTTTTTACAAATGATGTTCCCTTATTATTTATTTTGACGATTCTGCACTACAGATGGGGGCATTTCCATCCTAGAAGAAACAGCTCCCATTAGGATAGAAGGGTTTTATCACAGGATGAAGATGATTTGCTCTTTTTTTGCCACCAGATCCCTTTTCCATAGTGATTTAATGGTTCAGGTTTTTCCTTTAATTTGTCACCCATCTGTGCATTTGTGTAAACTGTCTCTACTGCTGCTTTTCTTATCAGTAGGTGGTGCGAGGTTGGATCCAGAGGTGCAGACGTGAACCGGTGTGAACCTGTGAGTTCCAGTGTCATGGATTTGAGTTCGCCATCCTCAGTGACACTGGTGCTGTTGTTTCACAGAGCTGCTCGCAACAGCACCAGATCAGTTCAAGAAATTAAGTCTGCTCACTTCCAGCCAAATTACTCAGCCAACATTTTGTGTTTTGACAAAACACGTATTTGCCTTCGTTAGAGCTGATCCAACATTCGCCATATGTGAACAGATAATCTGCTCGAAACCCTAATCACAGATAATATCACAAGCGATCTGGCTGTGAAATGCAGATAAATTTGGCAGAGAGGACAAAAACAAAGAGGGCGTCGCGTCTCCATCTAAATTGCAAAAACGAGCCTCACGAATTCCCGCGTTCATTTCACGGCAATCCTGCTTTCTGATTAAAGCTCGCCTGATTTTTTACCTGTAGCCTCTGTAAAATTATAATGACGTCATTCTTTCTCAGAAAGTGGCACATTTCTTTTTTTTTTTTGTAGGAAAACTGCATAATTCTAACTCATGAGATGAATTTTAAAGGTGTTTTTCCACAGCGGATCTAAAGTATATGCCGAGTGTCGTGATAATACCCTGCCTTCTGTCACCGGGGGTGGAAGAATCGCACAATTACCTCGAGGGCTCGGGAAGCTCTCTTGCATAAATCACATCCACTTTACGCTTAAAATATGTTAATCCATTAATATCAAAGGGCATCGTCTCTCCTTCAGCACACTCTCTGAGCTTTGTCTAATGTCTAATTTAAGAACCTATTCATTTAGACCCAAAGAAACATAATCAAATAACCACTGTTTACAAAATGTGTTTCAGTCTGAAGTGTCCACTTCAAGTCTCCCACACACTGAGTAGAAAATACTCCCCCAAAAGGTGATGATTTTATTTCATGTAGGAGTTTGAAGATAGGCAATAGTTTGCGTCGTAATACCACTCAAATCCTTAAATTATCTTCTGAAGACATTATTCCTGCCCCTGTTCTGCTTCTCCTTTGTTCTGTTTGTGATTGAAGACAGGTTAGAAACCGGCTCCCCTGCACATCGTGTTTCTGGAAACTCTTCTGTTGTCTGCAAAATACATGAACACAGATTTTAAACCAAGTAAATATGATCCAGAGTTGTCTCTTCGTTAGAAAATGACAGGCTAGTTCTCTTACACACATGCCCATGTCCAACATCACTTATACTGTAGATTCATTAGGATGAGATCTTTTAATTTCTAGTTACATCAGTTAAATATTTGTAGGAATCAAATCCCTGCTAGCACCTGACTCATTTTAGATTAGACTAGAAAAAGAGAAAATTTATTCTTTATGTTTTTTAAAGTGTTTTTCTAGGAAAATGGAAAATAAGTTGCAAAAACAGAGTTTGTACAATCTTGAAAGTCAATACTTGGTGGGGCTCCATTTCTTTTGGATTTTAACGGCCTTTTGTTCTACTTTCTCTCAACATGATCACACACTGCTTCAGTAATGTTGAGGTCCAGGCTCTGGGGAGGCCAGTCCACGACTGATAGTGTTTACTGTGTGATTTTTCTACTGCACTGTGGCTCTGGGATCATCTGACAGCACTTTTCTGTGATCATAATTCCATCAGTTTTCTGTCATACCTCTCCTGACCTCCTCCAGACATCCCCCAATAAGACCTGTTGCCACTACATTTTCAGTCCACTTCATGTGTAATTTGCCACAACTCCAACTTTTCTTCCTGTTTCCCTTCTTTAAGAATGACAGCCTCCCTTCCACTGAGGCCATTTCTGGCGAGGCTTCAGTGAACAGTAGACGGATCAGCTGAAGAGCCAGATGCATCTCTCACATTCTGGTGAGATATCTGGTGTTTCCTATATTTCTCTATTTATTAAGGACATGATTTTCAGTTCTTCTGCCGTAGATAGATTTTTTTTAGGATGCCATGCTAACACCTGCCAAGTTTTCGGCAAATTTCATGTCTGCCAGACTGTGTTATCTTTGACATTCCTCATGGACTAAAATAGAAGAATGAGAGCAAAATATGTGTTATTTTGAGGGGGTTTTGGCAACAAGCTGTTGGTAACAAACTGTCTAAAGATAATCTAAAAGATTACATGTATTTATCTGTGGCTACTCTCGCCCGTGTTTTTCTTAATTGCTGTTGTGTCATTTTAACATGTGTTTGTCTCACTTTTTCAGTTTTTTGTAAACAGCTCTCTTTGGAAAAAAAGACATCTTGATTTCATTGAGAATACCTGTTTAAATGAAAGATTTATTAATAATTATAATAATAATTACAGAGATATTTAGGCACAGTCCTTTGACGTTGTTATGAAAGAAGATTGGTTTATGCCTCAGTCAATAAGAAGGCAGTAAAACTGATGATGCTGATCCTCGATCTAATTTAAGAAAACTGGCG